GGAGGACCCGAGAAAAAGAGATCAGGGCTGCTCTGTGCAGAACCATTACAGAGCAGGTAAGCTGGTAAAAAAAACTATACTTTAAGAATCAATTTACCTGTAGAGCTCTGTGAACCCCAGTAGGGGGCAAAAAATGTCTCAGCGAACGTATGTAGTCGTACCCCTACAAACCACAAACTTTCTTAAACTAGCAGAAATCAAGATACTCCACCCAACCTTCTACTGATGCATTTCACTCCCTACTGGGGCTTAATTGCAGAGCTCTATGACTTAGACCCAGTAGGGGGCAAACTGTGAGAAAGGGCAAGAAGACAAACCCCTAAAAGCATCAAATCAACTTTATTAATCCAGCAGAATTTAGTACACTCCACCTCTTCTGACGTTTGTTACCCCCTATTGGGGCTTAATTATAGAGCTCTACGAACAAGTCCTAGTAGGGGCAAAATATGTCAGTGGAGGCATGAAACTGAACCCCCCCCCCCCCCCCCCCACAACTTTAAAATAGCCTAATTTACCGACAAGCCCCAGTAAAAATATGTCAGTGGAGGCATGAAACCCCAACCCTCCCCCCCCCCCAGAAACAACTTTAAAACAACTTTATTGGTCCAGCAGAAATAAGGATAATCCACCCCCTACTGGGGATTAATTGTAGAGCTCTATGAAGACGCCCCAGTAGGGGGCAAAATGCATCAGTGGAGTCATGTAGCATGTAACTGACCCCCTAATAAATTCAAAACAACTTTATTAATCCTGCAGAAATTGGGATTCTCCACCCACACCTCTACTGATGCATGTCGGCCCCTATTGGGGCTTAATCGTGGAGTTCTATGATTTAGCCCCAGTAGGGGGCAAACCATGTCAGAAAAGACATGAAGCCAAACCTCCAGAAAATTTTAGGATAGTCAACATACACCTCTAATGACCTGTTTTACCCCCTCCTCTGCTAATGCATTTCACCCCCTGCTGGGGCTTACTTATAGAGCCCTACATTTAAATAGGGATACGCCACCCCCACTCCAACTGCTGTGTTTCACCCCCTACTGGGGATTTATTGTAGAGCTCTATGAAGAAGCCCCAGTAGGGGGCAAATGCATCAGTGGAGGCATGTAACCGACCCCCCTAATAGCTTTAAACAACTTTATTGATCCAACAGGAACTAGGACACTCCACCCACACCTCTACTGATGTGTTTCACCCCCTACTGGGGATTAATTGTAGAGCTCTATGAAGACGCCCCAGTAGGGGGCAAAATGCATCAGTGGAGTCATGTAGCATGTAACTGACCCCCTAATAAATTCAAAACAACATTATTAATCCTGCAGAAATTGGGATTCTCCACCCACACCTCTACTGATGCATGTCGGTCCCTATTGGGGCTTAATCGTGGAGTTCTATGATTTAGCCCCAGTAGGGGGCAAATCATGTCAGAAGAGGCATGAAGCCAAACCTCCAGAAAATTTTAGGATATTCCCCATACACCTCTAATGACCTGTTTTACCCCCTCCTCTGCTAATGCATTTCACCCCCTGCCGGGGCTTAATTATAGAGCCCTACAATTAAATAGGGATACACCACCCCCACTCCAACTGATTTGTTTCACCCTCTACTGGGGATTTATTGTAGAGCTCTATGAACAAGCCCCAGTAGGGGGCAAATGCATTAGTGGAGGCATGTAACCACACCCCTAATAGCTTTAAACAACTTTATTGATCCAACAGGAACAAGGACACTCCACCCACACCTCTACTGATGTGTTTCACCCCCTACTGGGGATTAATTGTAGAGCTCTATGAACAAGCCACAGTAGGGGGCAAAATGCATCAGTGGAAACATGTAGCATGTAACTGACCCCCTAATAGCTTTAAAACAACTTTATTGATCCAACAGAAACTAGGACATTCCACCCACACCTCTACTGATGTGTTTCCCCCCTTATGGGGTTTTAACCACATAAAAATCTATGCAGAAGCCCCAGTAGGGGGCAAATCTTGCCATGAAGGGGCACGAGTGGAGTGTCCTCCTTTCTGCTGGATCGATAAAGTTGTTTTTAAGCTATTTGGGATAGTGGCGTATGACTTCACACTACGTAAATGTGTTTGTGGAGTGAGGAATCCCGGAGGCGTCATGAACCTGTGGCTCAGGTGGGTACAGCAGAGGACCTAGCTGCCGACTTTTTCCATGCCAATGGATTTGTTTTTGCGTCATGCAACGCCCTGCCTGCCATTATAAAAAAAAAAAAAAAAACGAACTCCCTCGAGTCTGGGGGTTTCAATTACGAATCCAAATTTTCTGGCAAGTTATTTAGCAATCAATTAGCGCGGTAAACAAAGACTCGTTTTCTACGAGGACTTCCGACTCGCGGAGAGGTCTCCCAACGCCGAACAAATATTAAGCTAATTAATCATTGTCAACATATCACTCGCATTAAACCGTCTCCTAATTAATTATGCAATCAGTTCCCTTTCCGCGGGAAGGTGCCCGAGCCTCCTACAAGGATGAAACGTGAAGGTCGGGCTTTGAATTTCCCGAGACTTTGGAGGCCACCATGGTTCGTGACGGGTTTTTGAAGCCTCCTTGAGGCTTTATCGTTGGCGGCCTAGCTGTCATCGCCCGTGAACGGGATGTGATCCTCCTCTCTCTGTAGAGAACATTAAATATGACCTTTGGATAACCTCCAATTAGACGACTTTAATAACTATCACTGCAGAAGTGGTTTTGACAAGCGTCTTCTGCTGGGGCACCGAGGAAGTCCCAGCTGAGAACCGGCGAGGCAAAGCAAGCGACGTGCCTTTGTTCGACGACTTTCAAGTCCTGCGTAGCTGAAACGATGTTCTGAATGGTTACCTTCGACTCCAGAATGAAGAAAAACTTGAAAGAATTTTCAGAAAATAATTGAGAATATTAAAAAAAAAAAGAGACCGGAGGATGTTAAAGCCCAACTCCAGATAGTTTCAAAGCCCAAATCCATAACACTGTTCAACAAATTTTTATTTTTTGCCAGTTTTGGAAACAAAAGGATCCATTTCTTAATGAATTTCACATTCTGAGTTCAAATATAACAATGAAATTTGTCCATTGGCTCTAGTTTTTCTGTAAACGGAAAGTTTTCTACTATAGGCGTAATGACTACATAATGCACAATAATTATATAGATAGATGTCTTTCCACAAATATAAAGCAAGTGATATTGACTACATAACAAAGCCTAAATGGCATAATATATTGCATAGGATTACCAAGAAAAATTATAGCCATAAGCTAAGTTGAATCATTTTAATACTTAGGATTCTCACTAGTTTTGTCTTCAGTTTGTGTCGGTTTTGCTTCTCTTGGCTTTTCTCTTGTATTCGAGGAAAGGGCTATCTCTTACAACTGCACGTGACTACACGCTTCAGGTTCTTCCTCACTTGACTCAACCACGAAGGATTCTGGTGCTTTAGGAATTGGTAGCCCCTCTCCATGAGGAACTGGACGTATTGCCGATGGAATATTTGGATAGTGCACAGATAACTTTTTCTTCTTATTTAGCCCTTTTACAATTGGAGGCACCATACAAAAGTAACAATTACTAACATGATCTGTTGGCTCTCTCCAAATCATTGGCACAGTGAAAGGCATAGATGCCTTTTTTCCATTCAACCATTGCTCCAGTGCCGTCCCACAAGAATTGCAGCATATATGTGGTGCCCAGCTCTTGTCCTGGTCTCCTATGTTGCAGCCAAAATACAAGTTGTAGGCTTTCTTAATCATTCCTGTTATCCTCCTTTTTTTGTGAGATAAAAGTTATTTCACCGCAGATATAGCAGAAATTATCTGCTTTCACACAAGTTCGAGGCATTACTGAGTAGCCTATATAAGCATAAAACGAAATGTAAAGACGAACTACAATCAGCTACAGATACTGCAGCTTTTATGCAGTGAAGTGATGCAATTAAAGGCTAATATTGCATCATCTCAGTATACATGCAATTTTCTATTGGTCACCAGTATCAATTGCGCAATATGCAGCTGAAGTTGCATCATAATTTTGAATGGCTTACGTCATTAGATGGGTGAATATATCATGGAAACTAGAGCCAATCAACATTTTTTAGGGTCATTTTCGTTTTCAGCACCCCAAAATTATGTAAGATTAGCTAATTTTATGCCCAAAACTTTTTACCTGTTGAACAGTGTAATTAGTTTTGGTTGGAGTAAGGAAGTGTGAAAACCTCTGTCCACACTGAGTGTCACGATATAAGGTCAGGTTCAGAGACCAGTTGCTATAGCAGTAAAAGGCTTACCTGAATCCAGCAGGATAGGTACATCAGCGGAACCCCTTGGGAATGACGCAGGCTCACCTGAGGTGCGGGGTCTAAGTATTAACCGGTATTCCCCAGAGCTCCTAATGGTGGAGATGGATTGGGCTGCGTGTTAATACCAGGTCGCAGATCTCAAGATCACCCCACCAGGGAATGAGCAGACTGGGAACCAATAACGGATCAACAGGTTAGGGATCAGACAAAAGCAGAGTCAGTCACAAGCTAAGGGTCGGTCACAAATGGTAGCAGATCAATCGTAGTACGTTAGGATGAGACGAAATCGTGGTCAGGAACAAGCCAAAGGTCAGTAGCGGAGGTGTAGACAGCAGCAGGAACAGTAGCGGGATATTGGCTGGAAAGGCACAATAATCTGGCAAGGAGGAAGTGCATGGACATGGCTTTTATAAGGAAGTTCATGGGAGGAGCAAGGAGTTCAAGGTTCAAGAGTAATCAAGGCACAAGGCAGGATCATCCAAGAATTGTCAAGGGAGCTGTCCAGCATTCCAGATAGCTCAGTGAGAAGAGACATTGCCTCTCACTGCAGAAGGACCAGGTTTGATCCCAGGCTCGGACACTGAGATTTTCCCATCAAGTTTTAGGGACAGTTTTTATTTATTTATTTCAGGTACATATTGTAATGGAACCGGACCCAGACTGCAATAAGGTATTTCCGTTAGCCTCCCGCTTCCCCGTCCGAACACAGATCCCCGGACACCACCGCTGGCCATACAAGACGAAACAGCACCAGACTCGTGTGAAAGACAGGAAATAGACTGCTTTATTTTAACATAGATACAAGATATATACACAGGGTGGGGAAATACACACCCAGACAGGAAACACATCAGCAGGCCGTGCCATCAGGGGGAAGGGCTGCCAGAAACATTACATCCCATAATAGTTTGCTAGAACAATGGGATACACCATGTGGCAGTAGACAATACACAAACACATACATCCCATAATAGTTTGCTCTCAAGCAAGACACACAATAGAACAATGGGACAACCACATGGCATTAAACAATGAACAACCCCCACCCCACCTATACATGTCTACACAATAGCACGACATTTCACCCTGCACCCCTAACAGGCACAGGGGGACTTACACATAATAGGGATTTGGGGGGCTGAGACAGGGGTTTAGGGGTCCCCCTAAAACCTATTGAGTGCAAAATCTGGTGCAGCTCTGCATAGGAGCCAATCAGCTCCCAGGTTTCATTGCCAAAGCTTCATTGAACAAGCTGAAGCTAGAAGCTGACTGGCTGCCATGCACAGCTGCACCAGACTCTGTCTGCACCGGTTTTAGTAAATCTCCCCAATGGTAGCCAATCAACTTCCATGTTTCATTGCCAAAGCTTAGTTGAACAAGCTGAAGCTAGAAGCTGATTAGCACCCATGCACAGCTGCACCAGACTCTGTCTGCACCAGTTTTAGAAAATCTCCAGAATGGTAGCCAATCAGCTTCCATGTTTCATTGCCAAAGCTTCATTGAACAAGCTGAAGCTAGAAGCTGATTGGCTGCCATGCACAGCTGCACCAGACTCTGTCTGCACCAGTTTTAGTAAATCTCCCCAATGGTAGCCAATCAGCTTCCATGTTTCATTGCCAAAGCTTCATTGGCTGCCATGCACAGCTGTATCAGATTCTGCACTCTCTGATTTTAGTAAATCCCTCCCATAGTCTTTAATTAAGTGGCAAAAAAAACACCATAAGCTCCTAAACGTGAATTCCGGAGCGGCAGTGCGCCTGAGGCCTGATAGCCAGACTGTCTGTGTATATCTGTCTGTGAACCGCCTACCGCACTTTTACAGCCGGTTCACACTCCATGCATTTCTTTAACTTTTTTCTCTGCGGCCAAAATGCACAGAAAGTAGGTGATATCGTTGTACCTCGGACACAGCCAATGACAGATCTGTGTACCGGCCCCGTTGCCAGTACCATGTGACCTGCTGTGAGCAATCACAGCAGGCCACATGACAGTTGTATACAATGGATGGCTTCCTTTCATGCCATCCATTGTATACAAGTGTGTCTAGCTGTGAATGGTCACAGTGGTCACATGCACAGGCTGGGCCAATCACAGCCCAGCTGTGTCATGTGATTAGCCGTGGCCAATCACAGCTAATCACAAAAAAACCCCTGAATGAATCGATGTCATTCAGGTAAATGCTTGCTTATAGCAAAGTAATTCTTTGCTATAAGCAAATTGTGTAAAAAAAAACAAAATATATACATCACTTCCCCAAAGTAGTACAATGTTACTATGGTAACATTGTACTAATTTGGTCATAGTGCAATGTGAAAAAAAGTCATAAAAAAAGAGAAAAAATGTAATAAAAAATTAAAAATAATAAAAAAATTGAAAAAAAAATATACATTATTTTTTGTACTGTCACCAGTCAGTGTCCCTGATCACCGCTATGCCAGTTATATGATGACGCTGTACTGCACTGGTGACAGTATGTAAAAAAAAAAATTAAATAGGGAAAATAATTTTTTTAACTTCTTCATTTTCCGAAAAATGACAAAAATTACAACTTCAAAAAACTCGCCATGCCTCTTATGAAATACGTCGGACTGTCTACTTTGCAAAAAGGGGTCATTTGGGGAATATTTGTACTGTCCTGACATTTTGGGGATATCTGTACCGTCCTGACATTTGGGGGATATCTGTACTGTTCTGACATTTGGGGGATATCTGTACTGTCCTGACATTTGGGGGATATCTGTACTGTCCTGACATTTGGAGGATATCTGTACTGTTTTGACATTTGGAGGATATCTGTACTGTCCTGACATTTGGGGGATATCTGTACTGTTCTGACATTTGGGGGATATCTGTACTGTCCTGACATTTGGGGGATATCTGTACTGTCCTGACATTTGGGGGATATCTGTACTGTCCTGACATTTGGGGGATATCTGTACTGTTTTGACATTTGGAGGATATCTGTACTGTTCTGACATTTGGGGATATCTGTCCTGTTCTGACATTTGGGGGATATCTGTACCATCCTGACATTTGGGGGATATCTGTACTGTTCTGACATTTGGGGGATATCTGTACCGTCCTGACATTTGGGGGATATCTGTACTGTCCTGACATTTGGGGGACATCTGTACTGTTCTGACATTTGGGGGATATCTGTACTGTCCTGACATTTGGGGGATATCTGTACTGTCCTGACATTTGGGGGATATCTGCACTGTTCTGACATTTGGGGGATATCTGTACTGTCCTGACATTTGGGGGATATCTGCACTGTCCTGACATTTGGGGGACATCTGTACCGTCCTGACATTTGGGGGATATCTGTACTGTTCTGACATTTGGGGGGATATCTGTACCGTCCTGACATTTGGGGGACATCTGTACTGTTCTGACATTTGGGGGATATCTGTACTGTCCTGACATTTGGGGGATATCTGTACTGTCCTGACATTTGGGGGATATCTGTACTGTTCTGACATTTGGGAGATATCTGTACCATCCTGACATTTGGGGAGTATCTGTACCGTCCTGACATTTGGGGGACATCTGTACCGTCCTGACATTTGGGGGATATCTGTACCTTCCTGACATTTCGGGGATATCTTTACCGCTCTGACATTTGGGGGATATCTGTCCTGTCCTGACATTTGGGGGACATCTGTACCGTCCTGACATTTGGGGGATATCTGTACTGTCCTGACATTTGGGGGATATCTGTCCTGTCCTGACATTTGGGGGATATCTGTACCGTCCTGACATTTGGGGGATATCTGTACCGTCCTGACATTTGGGGGATATCTGTACCGTCCTGACATTTGGGGGATATCTGTCCTGTCCTGACATTTGGGGGATATCTGTACCATCCTGACATTTGGGGGACATCTGTACTGTCCTGACATTTTAGGGATATCTGTACTGTCCTGACATTTGGGGGATATCTGTACCGCTCTGACATTTGGGGGATATCTGCCCTGTCGTGACATTTGGGGGACATATGTACCATCCTGACATTTGGGGGATATCTGTACTGTCCTGACATTTGGGGGATATCTGTCCTGTCCTGACATTTGGGGGACATCTGCACTGTCCTGACATTTGGGGGGATATCTGTCCTGTCCTGACATTTGGGGGACATCTGCACTGTCCTGACATTTGGGGGGATATCTGTATTGTCCTGACATTTGGGGGACATCTGTACCGTCCTGACATTTGGGGGACATCTGCACTGTCCTGACATTTGGGGAGTATCTGTACCGTTCTGACATTTGGGGGATATCTGTACCGTTCTGACATTTGGGGGATATCTGTACCATCCTGACATGTGGGGGATATCTGTCCTGTCCTGACATTTGGGGGACATCTGTACCATCCTGACATTTGGGGGACATCTGTACCATCCTGACATTTGGGGGACATCTGTACCGTCCTGACATTTGGGGGACATCTGTACTCTGCTGACATTTGGGAGGTATCTGTACCGTCCTGACATTTGGCCGTCCTGACATTTGGGGGACATCTGTACCGTTCTGACATTTAGGGGATATCTGTACTGTCCTGACATTCTTGGACCTCAAGAAATTAGATCGGCCGTCAGTACTTCAGGATTGATCAATTTTTTGGATATATACCATAGTTTGTGAACTCTATAACTTCCCTACAGACTGAATAATAAATACTAATTTGGGTTATTTTCACCAAAGACATGTAGCAGAATACATCTCGGCCTAAATTTATGAAGAACAATTATTTATTTGCAAACTTTTATAACAGAAACAAAGAAAAACATGAGTTTTTTTTTCAAAATTTTCGGTCTTTTTTTTGTTAATTTAGCAAAAAATAAATAGCCCAGTGGTGATTAAATACCACCAAAAGAAAGCTCTAGTTGTGTAAAGAAAATTATAACATTTTAGTTTGGGTACAATGTTGCATGACCGCGCAATTGTCATACAAAGTGTGAGGGAGCTGAAAGCTGAAAATTGGCCTGGGCAGGAAGGGGGGTAAAAGTGCCCGGTATGGAAGGCAATAAAACATAGGAAACGCACTCACGTTCTGGAGGTCCATATCTGCACCACCTATGGTGAACATCTGGCAATGCATCGATTAAGCACTAGATGGCAGAATCATCTGAACAGCCGAGTCCTGTGAGTGCGGAAAACTGTCACCATACGGAATGGAATGCAGGGCGAAGCTCGGGCCCTTCTCTGTGAATGTAATTGGCTCCTATAATGCCCTTCCTGGAGCCTTTTCACAAATACTATCCCCTTGAAGTCACGTGACTAGTGACGAAACGCGTCGGAGGAGCGTACGGATGACGTCACAACATTTCCATTCATCGGGAGAGAATTTGTCAATTGTAACTTTTTGTAAACATTTTGTAAAAAAATTGTTGAATTTAGTTAATTGATTTACTTTTTTTTAAAAAAAAAAGCAAAATAAAAAGCAAATAAGAAGCGATTTTAAAAAATGATTTTCAAAACATTCTTAAAAATTGATAAAAATAAACAAATGCAATTTAAAAAAAAAAATAAAAAGTCTCCCGAAAGGCTAATAAGAAGCAATTTCAAAAATGTTTTTTTTCAAGTTAAAAAAAAAAAAATTTCCTTAAAAATGCCAAATGAAAATTTGCAAAAAAAAATTAGCTGAAAGGCTAATAAGAAGTGATTTAATTTTTTTTCTCAGGTAAAAAAAAAAATTCCTTAAAAGTTCCAAATGCAAATTTGCAAAGAAGCAAATGCAAATTTTTTTTTTAATAATAAAAAGAGTCTCCTGAACGCCTCTAGTGTAATGCCATCGATATGACAGAATTTGATCTTATGTTCGCCAACAAATTTGATAATCGGTCATTAAAGAAATATTTTCGATCCATCGGGTGGATTCATTCACAACAACGGCAGAAAAGACAATGAGCTAAAATTAAAAAAAAAAAGAAAAAACCCCAAACAGATAAAAAAGCAGAATGAAGATGCGTGTGTGCGAGGGCGGCTGCACCTGTCACATCAGATCACTGCCTGGGTAACACAACGCGACTGATGGAAGAGGAGAGGAAGGGTTGCAGTCAGCTGTGCCAGATGGAGAGATCGGAGCGCGGGGTGCAG